AGCACCTAGCAAGTTGTAACCATTGATCAGTTGAGAGAAGCTTTCAGAGTATTTGTTCTATTGGGAAACACGAGGTCATTGTGGTAAAGAAACTTGTATCAGGGTGAGAGAAAACCATAGCAATCATGAGTGAGAATGCTGGTTTTGCATAGGTTGGTCTGCCTAAGTTCGATGGAGACTATGATCACTGGAGCCTTTTGATGGAGAACCTTTTGAGATCCAAAGAGTAATGGGGTGTTGTGAGTGAAGGTATTTAGGAACTAGCTGATGACACTTAGTTGTCTGCTACTGAATCCAAAAGCTTAGATGATCTTAGGCTCAAGGATCTCAAGGCTAAGAATTACTTGTTTAGCTCCATCGGCAAATCAATTTTGAAGACCATCACCAACAAGGAAACTTCAAAACAACTCTGGGATGCTATGAAGACTAAATACTAGGGGAGTGCTCGTGTCCAGAAAGCTCAGTTGCAGGCTTTGACAAGGACCTTTGAGGTTCTGGAAATGAAAGAAGGTGAGACCATTACTGCTTATTTCAGTGGGGTAATGGTAGTGGCTAATGATATGAGGAATTGTGGCGAAGATATGCTTGATGTTAAGATAGTTGAGAAGCTTCTAAGGACCTTGGCAAAGAAGTTTAACTATGTTGTATGCTCTATCGAGGAGTCAAAGGACATAGAAGCCCTCTTTGTGGATGCCATGCAGAACTCTTTACTTGTGCATGAACATAAGTTTCATAAGAAACCTCTGGTTGAGGAAGATCAGGCTTTGAGAATGACATATAATGTTGGAGGAATAGGAGTAAGAGGAGATGGAAGAGGTCGATTACCAGGCAGAGGTCGAGGTAGAGGAGGAAGAGGTTGAAATAGGGATCATGTTGAATGCTTCAAATGCCATAAGATGGGATACTATCAAAGTTAGTGCCTGAATGGCAGAAAAATCAAAAAGCTTACTATTCCAATCACAGCAATTCTCATCCTACTCATGAACTACCCGATGATTTCATATTAATGGCATTTCTGGATGACTCCAAGATGGAAGGAATAGAGAGTTGGTGGTTTCTAGATTCTGGTTGTAGTAATCATATGAGTGGAGATAGGAGATGGTTTGGTGAACTTGACACCAATATTGTTAGGAAGGTGAGACTGGGAAATGATAGCATATTGGATGTTGCTGGCAAAGGAAAAGTGAGGCTGCAGTTAGAAGGAGTCTCTTTTTTTATTAGTGATGTGTTCTTTGTCTCAGGCTTGAAAACTAACCTATTAAGCACGAGACAGGTGGAAGAGAAGGGGCTGGAATTTCAAGCCAAAAGAAATGTGTGCAAAATCTTTTTAGAAAACCAAGGTTTCTTGCGAAAAACCATTATGAGAGCAAACATAATGTTTGTTCTTCAAGATGAGACCAACAGGACTGAAGCTCACTGGCTGCAAACTTAAGGTCCAAAAAATCTTCACTAAATCTATGACACAAGAGATTTGGTCATTTGAAACCTCAGGGATTGGTTTAAGTGCATAATAAAGGCCTGGTAATAGGCATACAAGATTTGAAGGGAGCTGTGGCAGTATGTGATACTTGTTAGGTTGGCAAGCAAACCAGACAAGTCCCCAAACACAGTCCATGGAGAGCCACACGAAAACTACAATTACTTCATGCAAACTTATGTGGCCCTATTAAATCAACCTCAAATGATGGAAAAAGGTACATATTCACTTTGATTGATGACTACAGTAGAAATTTGTGGGTTTACTTTCTGGTTTCTAAATCTAAGGCTCTTGAATGGTTTAAGAAGTTTAAGATTATACTAGAGAAAGAAACTGGTCTTTCCATTATATGTCTTAGGACAGATAGTGGAGGAGAATTCTTATTGAATGAGTTTTAATCACCATGTATTGAATATGGAATCAAGAGACAGCTTACTGATGCACTCAAACCTCAGCAGAATGGGATGGCTGAGAGAAAGAACAGGACGACCATGAATATGGTAAGGTGTATGTTGAAAGATACACAAGTATCTGCTGTATTCTTCCCAAAGGTTGTAAATTGACAACTCATGTCCTCAACAGGAGCCCTACAGTGGCAAATCAAGGGAAAACTCCACAAGAACTGTGGACTAGACCATCTACATCAGTATACCACTTTAGAGTATTTGACTGTGTAGCCTATGCTCATGTTCCTGATAAGTTGAGGAAGTAGCTAGATGACAAAAGTACACAATGTCATTTTCTAGGAATCTCTTCTTAGTCTAAAGCTTACAAGCTTTATGATCCAGCAACAAGGAAGATTCTGGTCAGCAGAGATGTGGTATTCGATGAGAGCAAAGGTTGGAAGTGGAGATCTAACATTCAACCAGATCTAATAAGTAAGATCTGGGAGGGAAGTGAATGTGCATTTGATGATTCAGATGGGGAAGAAGGTCCTCATCTTTCAAGCACTCCAGTTCCTGCAGCTGAAGCAACAGAAGAATCACCTAGTCCTGAAAGTTCAGCTACACAAAGTGAAGCAAGTGCTACTGAGGAAGAGACTAAAAATACTTCAAATGATGTGCTAAGACTCCCTAGAAGCACTGAACTAGCTCCTAGATCAAGAAAACTCCCAGGGCACTTGGCCATCTATGACTACAGCTATGTGGAAGAAATACAACCTGAGTGGCTAGCTATGACTGCTACTGCTGAAGATCCTCGAACATTTGAGGAAGCTGCTCAAAATTATATATGGAAGGAGACTTGGACAAGCACAGGGCAAGACTGGTGGTTAAGGGGTATGCTTGAAAAATTGGAATAGATTACAATGAAGTTTTTTATCCAGTGGCCAGGTGGGATTCCATTAGATGTCTTTTGGCATTTGCTGCACATCATGGTCTTACTATTTGGCAGCTTGATGTCAAAAGTGCATTTCTGAATGGGGAGCTCATCACTGAAGATGTTTATGTGGATCAACCACAAGGGTTTGTGGTTTCTTGGGAGGAATCCGAAGTCTATAAACTCAAGAAGGCACTATATGGACTGAAACAAGCCCCCATGAATTGGTATAGTCAAATTGAGGCTTATTTTCTAGCCACTGGTTTTGAGAAATGTCAGTATAAAGCTACTCTATTCATTAAGAGGTCCGACAAAGGTTTGTTGTTGGTTAGCATCTATGTAGATGATGTGCTTTACACTGGCACAAGCACTGAGATGGTTGAAGAGTTCAAGAAATCAATGGAGACTGAGTTTCAAATGACAGATTTGGGAAAGATGATGTATTTTTTGGGAGTGGAAGTGGTACATAAAGAGAATGACATCTTCATTTGCCATTAGAAGTATGCAAAAGAAGTTCTAGAAAGGTTCAATCTGGTTGACTGCAACTTTGTTCATAACCATGTTGCTCCTGGCACCAAGCTGACTAAGGCTGGAGATGGTTGCTTGGTGAATGCTACTAAATACAAGCAGCTCATTGGTAGCCTGCTGTACATCACATCTATGAGGCCAGATTTGATGTTTGTTATATGTCTGCTAAGAAGGTACATGGAGGCTCCCACCAAACAACACCAGCTGGCATGGCATATGGTAGAAGAGAAAGTGAGGAAGATTGTCTGGTAGGGTTCGCAGACAATGACTATGCAGGAGATTCTGATGCTAGGAAGAGTACCAGCGGATACATCTATTTTCTTGTAGGAGGAGCGGTGTCTTGGGCCTCCTAGAAACAGTCTGCTGTCACACTATCTACCATAGAAGCCGAATTCGTAGCAGCTGCATATTGTGATGCTCAAGGAGTTTGGTTAAGAAGAATTCTAACTGTCATAGACTGGGAGTCAAGTGTGAAAAAGGGTACTGATATCATGTGTGATAACAGATCCACCATCAAGCTGTCCAAGAACCCTATTCTTCATGAAAGGAGCATACATATTGATGTAAGGTTTCACTTCCTAAGGGATTTAGTCAGAGATGAAGTGGTGGAGTTAAAGTTCTGTGGCACCCGAGATCAAGTGGCTGATATAATGGCAAAGAGTCTGTCTTTGGAAGCTTTTTACAGGCTGAGGGAAGAACTTGGTGTGTGTGATATTACTGTTGCAGAGAATGAATGAAGTTGGAGTTGAAGGTTGAACTAAAGCTGGTTGCTGATGGGCTTCAATTCAGGGCATAACATGTTGGAAGAAATCCTGAGTGCATCTGGATACCTTGCTGCATCGGGATTGGAAAGAAGGGCGCCAAATTTGAAAGAAGTTTACTGTTGGAGAATGCAACCTCGTTTTAGCTTAAGTTGAATAAGCATGTTGCATTGTGCAGTATTGCAGAGTCAGTCCCTATTTCCTGTTTTGTTACATGTAAACTTAAACCAGCTTGTTGGAATTTGGATTATTAAAATTGTTTGTGAGTTACTTATAATCTATGTTTATAAATTATGAACTTATGTTTATATGAGTCATGAATTATTGCAGGTAGTTATGTATTTATCTAAATTATTAGATTCATTCAATATTAAAATGAAAATCAACGGTTCTGATTAATCGAAATTATCCAAGTACAAATATATGGTTCAGGTTAGCGTACGCTGACGTAAGCTATATGCATGTGTTCACACTTATTAATTAATTAGTACCAAAATTAAAAAATAACTTTCCAATTTCTTCCTAATTTTCAATTTTTGACTTATAACATTTTATTTAACATATAAATCACTCATATATTTGTACACAGCCCTAGTGGCTATATGGCATTGCCTGACCCACACAAAATACAAACATCATATTTATTTTGGTGTAAACACATCATTCACACAAAACAATGGCGAATCACACCTTTACTTTCTTCTCTTATTTATAATTAGCTCTATACACGATCATAATAAATTATTTGGTTGATTAAACTCCTATATGAGTCTATCGAATCATTTTCAAATGATTACTCTCCACTAGTCATTTTCAATTTTTCTTGTTTTTTTCTTCACTACTTTCTAATTGTAACCTTGTGTTGTCTTTTTTAAATAAACCCAAAACTAACCCTACTCCATTGTCTCTTGAGAAACCCAATTATGTCCAATTAATTACAATAACACTTTCCAGTTATTTTTCAATAATACATGAAATGATTTTCTAGAAAAATAGTTGTTACTATTTTGGAGACTAGTTTCAATTATAGGCTATGTGTGATTCCAAAATGATTTAATTTTGAGCCGTTACAATTTGTAAAGAAAGTTAACATTTTTTTTTTTTTTGTGTTATGCATGCCTCCTACCAAAAAATATTTTGTTGGTTGAAAAATAATTTGTTGTTTGCTTGGTTAGTTTTATTTGGATAGAAAATAAGATAATAAAACATATTAAAGAGAAGCACAAAATGGTAATATTATACCTGCTCAGACTTAGGGTCTTCATGCCTTTGCTTATCATCAACGACGACGTCTTGATTGGCCCGGGAAGAAATGTTACCAACATCCTTTGGAGGAGCATCATTGACAACCACACCAACAAGAGCATCTGATTTTCCAAGATCTTCATCCTCAGAAGGATCTTCTCTAATATTGTCTAAAGGAGCGTTCATATAATGACGGACACTAATGGCTCCGTCACCAGGTGGTGATACAGATTTATTCTCGTTAGGCATAGTGAGAGAGAGGGAGCTGAAGTAGTTGCTAGAGCCTAGACAGTGAGCAGAATACCAATAAATAGATAGGGTTAATTGAGGAATGGCCTAAAGTTTTGCAATCTTTTCAATTATGGGTTGGCGCTGGAGCAGATGAGATGCATGCATGCATCATTTCATTTTGTTTATATATAGATGCTTACTAAAATTGAGATTCAAGTATATCCAAGTTTTATATATGTGAAAAACATAAATGTCGTCATATTCCTTTTTTTATGAATTATATTCCTTTGTATGAGTATCTGTATGACCAAGGTGGTCGAGGATAGGAATTTTGAATTTGAGTGGGTCAAAAAATTCAGGTCTGAGGGGTGAGATTTAAAGGCTTTTTATTTTTTCTAATTTTCTTAATCGACTCTTATATTCTTGATTATAATCAGTGGTACACAATGATGAAAGTTCGTATATTCCTACTACCATGTATTTCAACCATCCTACATATGTTATGTTCATACCACCATATTACACTTTCGTACCACGTAATATATATGATCTTATGTAGTACCAAGTAGTACCGCTATGGTATAGACTGGTACTAAATGTCTCAATTTTTTTGTTTAAAAAAAATCAAAGTGAACATCATTTTGAAGAGTACAATTAATCTGATTTATCTGTGGAATTTTTATTTAATTCTGACTTAAAACGAGAGTGAAATCGTCCGTTAAAAATTAAAAGGGAAAAGATTAAAGTGTTTCCATAAAAGAGAGAGGGGTGTTAATGTAGTGCATTGTGGTTGGATTATACATAGTTATTAACTAGAGGTGGACCTACGTGTTGCTAAGGGGTGTCGTCCGACACACCTTCGCCCGAAAATTTTGTGAAGAACCGAGGGGAGTTCTATGGTACCCAGGGTAAAATCCGGGGTACCGCATACCTTGAGTTAGAAAACGCTATCTAGAACTTGAATTGACTAATCTTTCGGACATGATACTATGCTCTAACCCTTAAAGATCAACATCTAGGTCTTAATTCTCTAAATCTTATACCCCAAGATCAATTTAATTAGAAACAATAATCAATGGTTATGATTCGTCCAAATATAAGCAAAAAAATCAATGCACCATCTTAAGGTTTATAGTTTATAATTAGGACCAAGGGTTCACTCATTAAGGGTTAGAGTATAGTATCATGCCCAAAAATCATGCTAATTCGAGGTCTAGATAGCGTTTTCATACTCAAGGTATGCGGTACCCCGGATTTCACCCGGGGTACCATAGAAGGCACCGAAGAACCTATATTTTTTTGGTACAAAAAATTTCAATACGAGATTTCTGACACCACTTTAATAATTATAGTTGATACTCGTTCATTAAGCGACACTCTTCAACAATTCTGGGTCCGCCATCATTATTAACCACAAGGTTATGCACCTCATCCACTCCCGACCAAGGTTATTATATCTGGTAATACAATATTATATTTTCACTTATTAAGTTGTTTATATTTCTTAGTCCTTTCTAATTTCACCCCTGTCAAAACATGCGTGTGATATATCAATCAAACTTTAATTTCATTCAACGGTGCATAATCTTTTGAGTGTTTAACATGTGTAATCAAATTTGAAATCTTTCTCTTAACTAGCTTGTAGATCTAAGGGTTGTGAATTAAAGGTATTTTATTTTTTCTATTTTTCTTAATCGGATCATATCTTCTTCATTCTAACTCAGTTTTGTTTTACATCGATTGAATGAGTTCGTTGTGCTCTGCAAAATGAGATCCATTTTCAATATTTTTTTTTAGAAAAAATATTTTCATACCTCTCGTTACCAACTCTATACCTAATGGTATCTCCTTCGTTTGTAAGTCGTTTTCGGAAATTTTTGTACAGAAGGAATGATTTAATCATATGATCTATTGGATCCAAAAATTTCTGGGTGAAATTTTTTCATACCTCTCGTTACCAACTCCATACCATACTATACCAACATGTTATGGGCTGGTATCTTTCATAGCATATGATATGCTCTTATTTAATACTAGTCCATACCATATGGTATAGACTGGTAAAATATGACTCAATTTTTTTTGTTCCAAAAATATATCAAAGTGGATATCATTTTGAAGAGCACAATTAATCTGATCTAACTATGCAAAAAAATTAAATTCTGACTTAAAACGAGTGAGAAATCGTCCGTTAAAGATTAAGGGAGAAAATTAAAGGCTTTTTATAAGAAAAAAAGGGGCACTGATGTGACGGATTGAGATTGGATTATGCATGGTTATGCAACACAAGGTTATGCATGGGATCCGTTCACCCGTGTAGGTAAGTAATTAAGGAAGGTACTTTTATGGAGTTTATAATTTCGAATCAGAAATAAATCTTTCATTCTTTCAAAATCTACCTTTTTAAATGGATAATATTAAAAGTAGGTCATGTATCATATACGAAAATCGAAACCTCTCTTAATTGAGTAGTTTGGCTCTACTATAACTTTTGCAAAAACAACTTCTGGTTTGAAATTTTGGAGAAATACTTTTCCAAAAAAGCTATTGAATGTATGGTAATGACTAGTATACTCCAGGAGTATACCATACTTTAAGTGATATCGGAGCGGATCAAGTCAATTACCATAGGGTCAGTAACCATGAGTAACCCGTCCACATTAGCATCCCTCTCTCTCATGGAAAGCCTTTTATCTTTTCCCCCTTAATCTTTAACGAGGGATTTCTCTCTCGTTTTAAGCCGGAATTTATTTTTTATGTACAGATAAATCAGATTAATTGTGCTCTTTAAAATGATCCACTTTGATATATTCTTAGAACAAAAAAGAATTGAGGCATTTTTTACTAGTCAATACCATATCGTATTAAATAGGAGCATATAGTGATGTCAATGGGGCGGGGCGGGCAAGTACCTCAATACCCATGCCACCGCTCCACACTAGTACGGGTCGGGGCAGGTAAAACCCATGCGGGTACGGGGTAGGACGGGCCGACCCACTCTTTAATGTTATTTGAAAATAATGTACACAAATTTTACATTTTACAATAAAATGAAGGGGAAAATACTTTATGAATGAAAAATAGTGATAACAAAAAGGGTAATTGAGTCTAATCAGTTGAAAAAATCGACTCTAACTAGTTGAAAAAGTTAAAATAAGATCAATATATATAAATATTGTAAGAACGGGCCAAGAACGGAGTGGGGCGGGACAATGCGGGTCGGAAATAGATACCCATGTCTCGCCATCGCAGTACTGCGGGTCGGGTAATACCCACGGGGCGGGTTCAAATTGCAATCACTAGGAGCATACCATATGGTAAGAAAGCATACCATGATGGTTTGAACATACCAAGACTGTAGGAAGGTTGAATACATGATAGTAGAAATATACTAACTGTCATTTACGACTATCATCATTGTTTACCACAAGTTACCACTTCCATACTAGGGTGGTAAAGTATGATAATTTTTGGTACTGTATTTATTCACCCAGAAAAATTTGTAGATCCAATAGATTATGATGAACTCGTTCCTTCTGAGCAAATATTTTCAAAAACGACTTAAAACGAAGAAGTTAATTACCATATGATATGGAGTTGGTAACGGGAGGTATGAAAAAAAATTCTCAAAAAATATTGAAAATTGATCTCATTTTGTAACGAACAACTAACTCATTCCATCTGTGCAAAAAAAATTAATCCCCGAGTTAGAACGATGAAGATAAGAGCCGATTAAGAAAACTAGGAAAAATAAAATGCTTTTAATTCACAACCACTAGAACTGAATTTTCTGTGCCCACTTAAAATGGAAGGTCCAGGTCTACTTACTAATAGGTGAGTAACCAGAGTTACTGACCGGAACTTAAGCATTAGATATAACCGTTAGAACTCCTTTTCTGAACTCCGGCCAATCTCAATGGTCAACTAATATTTTATATTAAATTGAACTTCGGGTTTGAGTTTAGAAAATAAGGATTTGGGGTTTATTCATTAGAGGTTAGAGTATAATATCACATCCAAAGCTCGATTAAATTCAAAGTCTATATAGTGATATCTCACTTTGAGTACCTGGAGTATAGTATACTCCAAGAGTACACCAGTTTGACCCTTGAACGTATGACAGGAAAGCTATTATAAGTGATTTTTTATATAAGAGATATGTAAAATTATTAAAAATAATTTCTAATATAAATAAAAATAAAAATTATAAAAATATAAAGTAGTGAAAGTGGATCTTGCTAAGTTTTTTTTATATGAAATAATAATAATAATTTTAATTCAATTTATTTTTTAAATAATATAAATGAAAGAAAATTATATTTTCTAAAATGCTTAATACACCTTCATAGCCATAAAATATTGACTTTATGATAGAGTTAATAGCATTTTGTACCCATCTACTATTGTAAATTAACAAATGTATCCCTCTACTAAATTTTTGCACAAACATACCCTTCTAATATCAAAACGTAACGAGTTTACCCTTTCGTCTAATTATCTGTTAATTATATGTTAAGTGACAGTTAAATAAGCTGAAAAATTACCCAATTTCCCCTTCTTTACTTCTAATTTCAGTTTAATATCTTATTAGTTATTTATTTATGTCCAAACAATTAATTAAGAGAATATACATATAAACAATTCACCGGCAGCACAAGAAACCGTTCCCTGTTCTCCGCTGGCGATTCGTCCCTCGACTCGGCGGCTTCTCCTCACCGGTGCCTGGAGTAGAGATAATCGATTATCTCTTAGGTAAAGCTTTCGTCAACGTAAGAAGTAGAGAGGAATGGAGTAGTGCTTTGCTTGCTGTGGTTTGGTTTGAAGGATGGAATGCATGCCCAAGTTCTTAATGGCGGAGGAGAAGATTGTGCAGCAGGCGAATCCTTCATTTTCTTCAAGACTATAAACATCATCGATCTGCAGGCTCGCATAGATAGCCAACCAGGGGCAGAGGAAGCTTTTTATTGTAGGCTTTGGAGAAGGCGATTCCTACTGGCGGCAGCTGCACACGAAAGTCCCTGCGGGGATCCTTCTGGCGGCAGAGTTGGGTGTTAGTCTTGTAGGTGGATTGTTTCAGCTAGCTCAGTTATGCCCGGTTATCTCCAGCCGCCGGTGAGGAGAAGCCGGAAGTAGGCGCCGCCGATTCGAGGGATGAACCGTCGGGAGAGAATAGGGGAGAGGGAGAGGGAGAGGGAGGATTGCCGGTGAATTATTTAGGGGTTTATTCTCTTAATTAATTGTGTGGGACAAAATAAATAAAATAATTAAAACTGAAATTTAGAGTAAATGAGGGGCGATTGAGGCAGACAATTAGACGGAAGGGTAAATACGTTACGTTTTAATATTAGAAAGGTATGTTTGTACAAAAATTTAGTAGAGGGATATGTTTGTTACTTTATAATAGTAGAGGGGAATAAAATGCTATTAACCCCTTTATGATAATAATAGCCCAATTTTGAAAATACACTAAAATGGTCATTCTGTCAATAACTCTAGTGGAGTCGTCATAGATGCTGACTGTACTAACGTCTTCTGATGATGTGGCAATTTTTCTTCAAAAGTCATGCCAGATGGAAATACTCAATACTACAAAAAATAAAATAAATAACTAAAACAAAAAAGGAAAAAAATCGCATCTCCCTATGATCGATTCAATCCGTGCAAGTCATTGTCAATAGTTAGCACATCTCAATAACTACCCCATCTTAGGCCAAGTTTAACCTAGAGTGGCGTTGTCATATAGTGGCAATTAATGTCGTATTCACTCGGGTCTCGCTATCCTAGCCTACTTTCCACGTTGTTGTTATCTAGCCGATCGGTTTAAGGGTTTGTGGTTGAGGATTCAAGCGGAATACTAAGAGTGAGAACAAATAAGGATAAAAGCAGGTGCTTATGGGAACTATCCCTCACCCTAGCGTAGGTTTACTATACAATGCCTAGAAAAATAGGGTTTGTCAAATGTTGTGAATGAGCTATTTTCCGTGGGCTTTCGTGGTCATCCACACGCCTCCGAGTAAGCCTCCCCTAAACCCATGCCAGTCACCTTGATCTAGGTTATTGTATCTGGGGCATTAAGCACATAGCTCCTTTCAATGGGTACCCACCGTCCACACCGAGATTTTATCCCGGGTTCTATCTAGGAAGGCATTCCTATGGCAGGTGTACAATCTCCTTGTCCACCATAGCTCCTTTCGATTTAGAAGTTGTCATTTACTGGTCTCCTTTTTATACTTTGACGCGCATTACACCAGTCTTGCAAGCAAGTATCTCTCCCTCAGGACCGAGAGCGGATGGATCATTGCCTTCCCTTTCAAGGTCACATGTGGGGAAGTTGATGGGCGGATTTGTCTTAGCCCTAGAGCTTTGAGGTCTCATGAATCACTAAAAAATACATTTTACCTTGGCATATGATTCCGTGAGGAGGAAAGATGTTTGGCGGATGGTAAGTAGTGATAGATGGTCGGGACGCGGTAAAGCTATCTTATACCCAAACGTATCCTCAAAGGGCACTCAAAACCTTGAGGGTCGGTTGCCTCTCACGTGAGAACCTCTTTTAAAAATATTTTGAGTACAAAATTGATAAAGAATCCCGTACACATGTTCTTCCTAAAATAGCAGACATTATCAACTCACCAAAGAGGAAGAAGAGAGTAAAATCCCTCATACACTGGTACTCTAATCATGCAACTACTCCCTAGAGAACACAACACATCAATCATGTATCAATTCAAAGCATATCAAGTAGGGGATTGCATGGAACAAGGTGTTTTAGAACCCTCAAAGTTGGAAAAAATTTGGGTAATGGATTCAAGGTTTCAAAACACTATCATTTGGCCAACCGACACCACAAACACACACAAACGCTAGCATACACTCCCATATGCATTCATCAACATCTTACATTCATAAACAAGTAAGGATACTAGCAATCCATGGCTCAATCAATCATGACAATCATTCAAACAGTCACAACCCCCCCCCCCCCCCCCCCCCCCCCCCCACCCACACACACACAAACACCACCACACTTGAGCAACACATTCTCCTCAATGTGGGAGTTTCAAAAGAGAAGATCATGAAGGTTACCATAGGTTGGGTTGTGGGTTGGTGAAGGTACACAAGTGTAGTTCTTTGTCTTTCTGGTGGTTTTCACAATGATAACGCGCATAAGAAAGAGAGAAAGACGATTAAGTATTATAGGTATGATAAATATATAATATAAATATGATTACTACTAGTAATAGTATATTTAAAGTACAGAAAATAAATGAAAGTAAAGCCATAATTAAACATTGTTTAAAATTAAAATAAATAAAAGCAAAGAAAAAGAAAATACAGAACTTACGCCTTGGATTCATAGTACTCAATCCCCTTCGGAGGGTCCTTCTTCTTCTTGAAATGGTGCAAGGGGAGGGGAGCGAGCAAGTTAGGGCGATACATCTTGGATCAGAATATCCGTCTTCTTCATTATAGCATGGATGCACACCATGATGTGGAGTCTTGCTTCCTTCTCCCTCCTTTGATTGTGAAGGATCGCCGCTATCATTGCTTTGACTCCGTAGTCCCTTGCAGTGTTGAATGGTGCGGGAACCAAATGAGAAGTGGATATAGGCGCCTCTTCTCCCTCGTACATGCTTCCCACTTGTTCTTCCTCGTTGACTAGTCCTCTTCCTCATCTTATCACTGTAGCTTCCGAAAGACGGAACATGGTACCCTCTATGGCCAACCTATTAGTAGTTGGAAATGGAAGTCCCCGTACTCCCCAAATGACATCGTCATTCATGTGCACCGCTTTAATTCTCGACTTCAAGATGACAAAGGATATCAGAGTGGTCCTACTATCGAACCGAAATTGCATGGCCCTGAAGTCGACTTGAAAAAGGTAGCAAGACGAGTGACAAAAACTCCTCCATGAAGGACAGTGAGTCTATGATCTGTTTCATAACGCTTGAAGATGGACAAGATGGCCAAACCGAGGTGAAGAGAATAGGGTAGGTGCATGCTTTGGAAGAAAGAGAAGTCTCGGGTAGTCAAATTGCCTTTGCTTCGGTTCTTTCCACCCAAGGACCTAGCAATCACATGGTGGATTAGCCGCCACTCTAGTTTCACCTCACTAGCTTTTGATAGCTTGACATCCCACGATCTACTATAAAATTTCTTGACTTCGGATTCATAGAAGGAATTGAAACATGGGAAGTCGGATTCCCTTGTCAAGGTGGCGAACGCGACCGGTGAGTCAATTAAATCCGTCGGGTAAATATCCATAGCTCTTGTAAATTCTCGGATTAAAAGTTGGCGATTCTCTCCTCCTAGCTGTAATTTCATTTTGTCTTTAAGGTCAGCGACACCTCTCATATCTTGAATGGTAAGAGTGTTAATGAACTCCAGAACAAGTACCCGATAGATGTTTTATTGAATAGATAACAATTTAAGCCACTCCAACCAGGGGCGGACCTACGTTCATGAAATATTATGACACAATTTATTTGTAAAATTTTATGTTAATGATGGTAGTATTTGAACAAAAAACTATTTGACAATCCTTGGTGATTTTGTTTTAGTATTGAATACCCTTGATGTAATTTCTGGGTCCGCCACTGACTCCAACTTCTGAATCTTGGATTGGAACGCATCCTCGATTCCAAACTGTGCGAAGATTATCTAGTTGAGACAGTCCTTGTAGCCACATAAGTTTGGTCTTGAATTGCTCGGGGACATTTTCCAAGTAGTCATGCGTGATGTGCTCTATGCCACCTCTCTCATTAGCTTCATCATCTTTATGTATTTCCCTTGGTAGATGGGAAGACAGTGATGGTGGATCAGTGGATGTGGTTCTTCAACAACTACTTCATTTGAATTGGATTTACTTTTCTTCTTCCGATGGCCTTGGTGAGGATGAGAGATTTTAGAAAGCTCTATATTTGAAGAACTCTCTCCACGTGCCATTACTTTTGTCTTGTAAATCATCCTCCAAAACAAGTAGTACAGAATGCACAAACCATCAATCCAAACATCACATATCATAGAAAGGATTATTCAAAGAACTCTCCACAACTCTCTAAGCTTTCCCCCACACTTGACCGAGATTAAGGGCTCATTTGCTTGTTGGATTTGAAAATGAGGGTTTTGAGTTTTAGAAACCTTTGGAATTATGATGGATTTATTGCATTATGGATTTGGAAGAGTACATTGTTTGTTTAGTTTATCTTTTATCATGGAATTATGATGCATTTGCCTCACATGTTTGCCTTCCATTACCAAATCACAAATGAAATGTGAGATTTGCAAATTCGTGGGGTCCACGGATTTGGATTTAAAAAATTGTCCAAATCCGTGAACCCCGCAAATTTGTGTCACTTAACAAACAATGGCTTTATGTCAATTCCATGATGCTTGGAATTTGGGTGCCAAATCCATCACCCAAATCCCACAAGCAAGCGATACCTAAGTCATGCGCAAAAGAGAATACTTAGATGAAGATAGAGTTCAGTGACAAGGAAATAGGCTAAGGTCTTGCCAATAATACATAATCAAGTTAACAAAAGTTAACAAGTGCATGGAAATCGATGCTCAATGAGTAGGATTGAAGAAAATGAGAACTGTGTAGTTGGGGACTTTCTTCGAACACTTGGTTGGCGGTCTTGAAAAACTCAAGAAATGCATGGAAATAGGCCACCAAGATCTCCGAAAATGCATTACATGAACATTAAAGACGAAAACAATCACAGGGCATCAATAAGTCATGAAAATATGAAGATGAGCATTTTAAACCCTCACAACGTTCAACCCATGGTTAGCAAAACAAGGTAATTAAAATATGGGGAAATAAAAAAGTATTATTATCTTGTTAGGAGACATGTTGGAAACTACAAACAATTAAAAATACTTCTCAAAAGACGTTGGAAAGAGAAGTAGATAAGGTATGCTCACTAAGCTAAGAGAGGTGGGGAAATATGGCATTTAGATCTAAAAGATGAAATGGAGAGACTACGCATGGATGCAATGTGCAACTCCCTCTTTAAATAAACCCGCACAAGATCTTCGGCTCTTGCTACAAGATCGCGACCGCGATCTCTGGCTTGAAAATTGCGATCTTTGCCCTGAACACCACATCAAGTTTTCATCCACTTCTTAAGCTTAATCATTCATATAAACAATAAAACATCCAAAGACAATGTGAGGCAAGGGTAAAGTTCTATCAATCTTTATCTACGTGATTCTACTCCTCTACTCAAGCAATTATTCCTCTTTCCCGATAATATTTCTTTCAAGAACTTAGTATATTTTAGAATCTTCATAAACATGTCTACGTCAAATGTCTCTTTCATTACGAAGACCACCCGGTCGTGAAGCTTATCCAGCATTTCGGGGAGAACCAGCTAGCTCTGGGTTCGAGTGGCATTTCACCCCTAACCACAACTCAAAAGAAAGGGAATGTTACTTTCAATTGCTTAAAGGTATCCTTCCATGAAGCACATCCATGATATAGATCACTTTCGAATAATCGTCTAAGATAAGGAGTTTTTGATGTTGGATCGGGTGCTTGAATATTCTTAGATTATTCTCACCTTGAATCTTGATTTCAGTAGTAGGTTGCACTTCTTCCTGAACTAACTCTTTTTCTTGAACAACTTCACGTTGAACCTCTCTTACCGGTTTCCTCGGTGTTGAGATATGAGTCTCCTTAAAAGGTCGGCCACTCCTCAGAGTTACCGCATGATATCCCTCCTTAGGATTATGCTTGGTATTGCCTGGTAAAGTTCCTCGTGGTCTTGACAATAGAGCTTGTGCCAACGAGCTTAGTTGGGCTTCAAGATTTTGAAGTGAAGCTTGTTGATTCTTTTGACCCGCTTCCAAACATGAGAATTTAGTTGTAGTGTTCTCTATGAATTTGTCCATAGCCTCAAACTTCTTGTTGGAGTGTGTAACGAACTGGACTACCAAGTCTTCAAGTTTTAGAAAATTGACCACATGATCGAATTTGTCCTTGGTATGCTCCATGGTATGAGGGTTTGATCGGTCTTGGGTAAGGATTTTGAATAGGAGCTTGTGCTTGAAACTTCGGAGGCTTTCTATCCGTCGGAGAAGACCAAATAAAGTTAGTATGGTTCCTCCAACCCGGATTATATGTAGAGCAATAAGGATTGTTTCCTCGAGATTGCCTTACAACAAAGTTGGCTTGCTCAAATTTTATTGAGGCCTCAATCATAGACTTAAACTCCTCCATAGTGTGACTTGAGTCGCCACACCAATCACATTTCATGAGTTGTTTTCCATTGCCTTTCGATGATGATGCAACTTGATCAATTTTCTTGGAAAGTTCTTGTATATGACCGCTAATGTAACACCCCATCCTAAAATCATGGGTTGAACCGATGGTTCAACCGCGCAACGGAAATCATTCGAGGTTTACGTTTTGAAAATCTCGACTTAAATCACATCCACAAAATTAGAATAGGTTTAAACCTCAATTTGATATGAATCATTTATCCAAATTTCCACATACCACTGATAAACACTTCTTCAATTCACAAATCATCATTGTCAAGTCCGGGATTTACAAAATCCCAACTATTAATCTCATATACTCTATTTATACTCAACTCAAGTTAATGATCATACTTGACCAATGTAAACTATCATGCATGCTCAAAACTCGAATAGTAAAATAAGAATTCCAGAATACATCAATAGGTGAAAAACCTTTTAAATTAAAATCCTCCATCGATATTTTTCTTTCTTTCCAGACTCGGAATCTGTTGTCGGTTTTTCTTATCTTTTGTTTCTTTTTTGGATTGTACATTTGGAACTATGGTCTGTTTTCTCTATCACCCGGTGTGTTTTGATGACTCTAGCTCTGTGCCTTTGGACTGGTCCCCTTCTAGTCGCCGCCTCCAATCTTCATTTCCCGGTAACAATAGAACGATCAATAATTGTATGCTCATATAGTAGTATTGGGTTCACTTAGGCCTAGCTTCTTAAATAATTTATAAGACATGACGTTTATGCTAGTGCCTAAGTCCGCCAAGGAATTCCTTACATGCATGCTACCAATAATGCAAGGATAGTAAAACTCATCGGGTCTTTTATCTTCTCTAGTAGCATGTTCTGCACAATGGCAAAACATTCTTCATTCAACATCATTGTCGACAGCTCCCCAAGGTTCCTTTTATTGACATACTTGAGAATCTTCTATAATGCCTACATGAATGGCAGGCTAATGTTCACCTACTTCAGCATTGTCATGAATTTGGCAAACTCGGTCTCTAAACTATCCTTGTGCAGGCGAGTGTCGGATGGAAGTTGAGGGACATACTCCTTTGCCATTAGTTAAGGTTTTGTAGCAGGCGCCTCATCCTCCTTTGCTTCTTCTTCTTCAGTAGCCAAAACTTCTGGTGCTGGTCTCTCAACCTCTGGTGTAACTGGAGCGAGGATATCTGACTCATCCCGAATTCCACGATTTAAATCCCGACTAGAGCACAAGTATAAACTCTAGTCGGGTGCAGTATAGAGCAAGTATTTAAATTTCAAACCCGGGGCCGGTCCATGTACCCTACTTTGATTGTTTGAAACATTATTTAGCAATCAATTTTTGGTTATAACTATGGACTATGATTAAAAGCAATAGGAAAGTTAAATGGTTCTAAACACTAATTGAGAAGGCTTTCACCCGAGTGTTGCTCCCCCTAGCTAGGTATCAAAATTAGTTGACCTGAATGCAAGCGTGTGGTAAAGCAGTTGTAAACCATAGGGAAGCGCAACAAGTGAAGAATCTTCATTCTCTCAGTCATTAGGCCAGGGAATATCAAATCAAGCTACCAAGTTACCTCTCTTGGCCAATCGACTAAGGGTTGCTTAGTCTTCTCTCTCTAAACATAGTCCGGATGGCCACAATACAACCTACCCAAGGTGATAAAACATAGTATGAGGTTTGCCCTAATTCGGCCTAAGTAGGTGGCTCAAATTGACCAAGGAATTACAGCTTTTGAAAGCCTCTTAGAAAGAAGGGGATTTTCATCTACCTAGGTCAAATTGACATAAGAGTTGGAAGTGGAAAATACAACACAACCTTCATGAAAATACCTCAATACTGGAATCAAAACACAACCACACACAAATCATTCAATTCATACAAACAATCACATGTTTCTAGCTAGGGTTCACAAACACCCAAGTGAAAGAAGAGAACTACTCCATGCTAAGACTAGGGAATACACAAAGGAGAAGAGAAATTACCATCTTGAGATGTTTTCCTTCTTCCTTTTGGTGTGGAGATCAACCTTGGAGGATGAGACTCCCAAACTTGGAGCTTGCATGAAATCATAACCTTCTTCTCCTCTCTTATTCGTCTCTTTCTCTCTCTAGAAATTTGAGTAAAAAGAAGTTCTCTCACTAGGCTCTCTCCTCTTCTTTCAGATCAAATCCCCTTTTATACCCAGATCGACGGCTTTTCACAGTCCCAGTTCACGGCCGTGAACTCCCAGCCTGGACTGTGATCCAGGACAAAAATGCCCCGTTTCACTTAACTCTTTACAGTTTGGAGGGAATTTTCATGATCGAGTGACTGTGATTTCATTTAGGCCCAGGAGGCACGCAGAATGTTCTGGTTCCTTTGCACTTCACGATCTGGGCTCCATTATCACGGTCTGGCTGACCATGAAAACTAAGCTTACACCATGATCCTCAGCTGCTTCCTCCCTTCGATCCGTTTTTGCCTCTTTTCGTCCAACTTTCGTTCCTGAGGTCGATTCCAAATGCTAGGATTTGAAACACACTAGAAACAAGCACAATCTAGCATTAAAACGGAACCTCACGGAGTGAAAACGCCTCAAACATCTAAAGAATATGAGGGTAATATGTGTGCAATTGGCTCCGAATCAATATCAGCAGTCTTCTTCCCGCTCCTGAGGAAAATGATCTTATAGTGGGCTGGAGGATCTCTAGAATTTGGAATGGTGTTGGCCGGCAGAGTACCTAGAGGCCTGTTGGCCACAAACTAGGCCACATTCCCAAAATGAGTTTGGAGATCCTACAATATAGCTTACTGCTGTCGCTGGCAGCTTTGACATCCCTTTAGTCCATAAACTAGGAGTTACAGTTGGTTGCTAGTAGTCACGGGCATGACCGTGACTTGAAGGATCTGCCTGTGACTTGCATTCGTAGCTTTTTTTATCCCGTCTTTGAGTCACGGGCTGGCAGGGGATGTCACAGCTTGCATGGCGGAGCTACAGCTGGGCTCGAGCCCCCCACCCTGAGAACTTCATAAGTTGTGTGTAAACTATTCAGATGTTTTGAAAATTTTAAATAAACTAAAAGTAAACTACAAAATATTTTAGCATGCACAATACAATCAAACTATAAACACAACTTAACAAACAAAGTCTTTGAAATATCCATCAGATCCAGGTTTCGGTACCTGCTCGCGGCATTTATTTTTTTAAGGGTATTGTGATTTTTTTGAATGATCATCCATTTCCGTTGCAAAAAGATCCTACATATGCCATTATGTATTGTTAAAGTTTTTAAATAATTTCAAACTATCTCACTCGCTTATCGATGAGTTGGTGCAATTATGACCCGTCATCCATCTACATTCTTCTTCGAGTTGGGTGGATGGGTGTGATTGGATTGTGATTTAATCAGCAAAATCAATTCTTTGATAAGTCGTTAGACAATTGACTAACATTAATAAATTTTTCTTGAATTAGGATGACTATATCAACTTAGACACCTCTCACTCCGTAGTTACTCATACCAACTTTAACGTGGAAAGTTAATCTGCTAACTTGAAGATTCGTTAGCCGATACTAACTGATATCCAAAATACATGAACTAATATCCAAGTACTAGAGTATTTTGAGAGCACAGACTAGTATTCAAAATTTGCTAACTGATATCCACCATGAATCAACTATTATCCCAAATTCACAAACTAATATTTAGACAACACGGAATAGTATCCAAACAGCACATAATTAGTATCCAGATAACACATAAGAGTATCCAGATAATCCTAAAGAGTATCCATATTCAATACTAGTTGGTTGATTGTGGATATTAGTTGGTATCTGCTATCTGGTACTAGTTTGTGATGTTTTTTTTATACTAGTCTGTGTTATCTAGATACTTAGCAGACTTGGATATTAATTCATACATTTTTTATATTAGTTAGTATATATTAACGAATCTTTAAGTTAGAGGCTGAACTTCAACTAAACGCTCATTCTCTTCTTTACTCCATTTTTTTGGTATCCAGTAGCTAAAATGGAAACTTTGCTGAATCCACCAAAAAAACTGGAAAATTTAAAAAAAAAGAATGCCGAAGAAGGGAAGAATTATTGACAATATTGAGGAAGGCATATTCGGGTTGGCATTGACCATGTCTCACGAGTAGCCCCGAAAGAGTAGCGGACCGCTCGGAGGCAGGCGAAGGCCATGTTTCCCCGACGTAGGCGCTTCTTTTCTCTTCTCTGTTTACCATAGCGTTGAAAATTCCGCTGAAAATTAAAATTTTCCCCAAACCAGAAAAAAAAAGCAATAAACTAATAACATAATCATAGACAAAAAAACAAGAATCGAAATCCCCTTTGGACGTATTGCCAAGGCGGAAGTTAGCTTTACTCGACGGGCAGTTTTGACAATTCGCTCCCGTTATTGGACAGCTTTACAACTCCTCCCTCCCAGCGACGGAGCCCGCCAATTGGATCTCGTCCTCTCCACGCTATTTCTTCCATTCCATACTCAGGTATGTTTGGGTAAGCTCTTTCTTCCTCCGGTACAGATTTGGCATTTCCGGTCCTTTTTTTTGCCTTCAAGTTTGTCGCTGGATATTCAGGAACTAATCTATATTTGTGAGTTCAATTCCCTCAGCGAAACATAAGATTCGTCGGATCTCGAATTGAATTCATCGCCGATCATTATGATGGAGAGGGCAGAGGCGGGGCAGAAACTGTACACGCTCCTGCGACTCTGGGAATTCCCTGATCAGTATGTGATTGAACCAACTGACGGATCTGCCGGTGCTCCCTTGGCTATCAGTCGGAAAGATGGCTCCATGTCCCTCATCGGTACGGTAACTTGCTTCTTTCTTTTTTTTTTTTTTGTTTCGTCGGACGGACTGACTGATTTCCAAGCATTCCTCCGCAGACCAAGTGCCACATTGCAGCTCTGTTCGGGTGCCCAAAATCCAGACTATTTTCGGTGTGGTCGGGCTGCTGAAACTCGTCGTAGGTGAAACTCGTTCTCTTATCATCTCTTCATTTTATCTTCACTTTGTGTTTGGCTGCGAACTTGCTTGACGTGAGGTTTTTGGCATTAGGGTGGGCGATCTGTCCCCTCCCTGGCGCTTTGAATATATAATCTTCCTTCCCATATTGTGCTTCTGTTCATCTTGGATTATTTATTCATCAGCCACTTCAGTTCATACTTGATAGTGCGAATGAATTGAGATGTTCCTTGGAGTTTTACTAGAGTTTATATCCAATGGAGGCTGAGAGAGGGAGAGATTCTGACCATCGGCTTCTTAGATGTTTGAGGCTATTGTAATTATTAACTGCAGGGTCATACTTGATAGTCATTAAAGATCGTGAATGCGTTGGATCCTACATGGGAAATCAGATCTTCAAAGTTACTTCTTTGAAGGTTTTCCCTTGTGATCATTCCCTGAAAAGTACTACTACTGAACAGGTAAGTCTTCTGCTGCTGTGACCTCTTATTTTCCATTTCCACATTGATTGGAGATTTTAACTGCTTCATACTCACTTTTGCAGAAGAAGGTAGAATCTGAATTCTCTGCCCTGCTTAGCGTTGCGGAGAAGACTCCTGGTCTGTATTTCTCATATGAGGCAAATTTAACACTAAGGTGATGAGTTGTTCCCAATTTAGTTCGACTCTTGTCATGTAGGGTACTTTCCATTTTTTAATGCTTGGAGGAGAGTTATACATACTGGTATGCTTCAGTTTCCCATCACAAAATATGTTTTGAGGGTAGTATTAGCTGAAGTTATCCTGAAGCAACCACTAGCGCCGAGACATTTCATTGATACTTGAACCTGCCCTATCCAAAGAAGAGCATTGTTAAATGTTAATTCAAATGTGAATATGTGTAGATTTGCACGATACTCGAAACAAAAGTTTGTTTCTGGGTTGATTTATATTCAAACCTAGCATCATTCATGTAATATCGTTCCTCTTGGTTCAGTGCTCAGCGATTGCATGATCTAGGTGATGAGTCGAAGTTGCTTCCTCTGTGGAGACAGGTGAGCCTTGTAACTATCAGTATAGAAGCTTGGGAATGTGCTCTCTGTTTATTTCCCTACTACATCCTCTCCCTCTAATTCTCTGCTAAATGTCAATTATTCTTTCACATTCATGTTTTTCATCATAGTCTCTCTGTGGTTGTGAGTAAATCCAAGGTTCCCTCATGCTTTTAGACTTTTGCTACAGGCAGAACCAAGGTTCCTGTGGAACAATTACATGATGGAAGTCCTCATTGATAACAAGGTTGAATTCAAAAAGTTGATTGACTTGGCGTGTTTAGTTTCTTTTCCCCCTTTTTGACCCTCAGTCTGGTGTTTTGTGATAAACGTGTTAACATTTTATCTGATGATTTCGTTTGCAGCTTGACCCATATCTACTTCCAGTTATCCAAGGGAGTATCCTTGATTTTTGCTTAATGTGTTACTTTGAAATGCTTTTAATTTTAAGTTATTCCAGGCTAATCATTACTGGCCAACACACCTATGTTCGAGTTTATCCTTAACTGATGCTCAGGCTTTCAGAACTTCCAAGCAGCCATTGGAAAAGAAATAGTTGAAGTCAAATTGATTGCAAGGAGATGCACAAGGAGAAATGGTTATAAGCCATCCATATGTTAAATTTGTGTGCTCTCACCTTATCTTTGTTGTTTCATTTACTACATTCGAATCTGAATTCAATTGGTTAAGAATGCAAAAAAAAAAAAAAAAAGTGTAGTGAAGTACTGCAATGCACTTGTGTGATTTCTTTTTATTAGGAATATGGGCTAACTTTAGGTAAAAAGGATAATGTCAATGTCTTTTGGGGACTTGAAGCATTTAACTCTTCTAGTATGACATACATTAGATTGTTTCTATCACATGGGCAACTCTAAATTGATCTACTGTTTCTCTTTGAAGGCACTCGGATGTGGAGACGGGGAGCTGACCCTGATGGATATGTTGCTAATTTTGTGGAGTCTGAACAAATCGTCCAGATGAATGGATTTACAGCAGCATGTGTCCAGGTACCCTTTAGTACTTGATGAATTGTGATTTTTTTCCTTATTCAATTAGGTATTTGAACATCGCTAGAATGGGTTAATGGTGCTTGGCATTGGTTATTGAGTGGAAGAATGAGTATGAACTCTTTATGGTTATTAATAGCATGAGTCTCAGCTCCAGTGATGCATTCTGATTCTTTTTAATATAAGACTTCTATCAAAATTCATGTTCCTCTCTTCAATTGGCTTTTGCAGATCAGGGGCTCAATGCCCTTCATCTGGGAGCAGATTGTTGACTTGACATACAAGCCTAAGTTTGAAATTATCAAACCCGAGGAAGCAGTAAGTTTTACTGCTCCGATGCAAGCAGTTTTAGTTGGAAAGCTAACTTTCCAACTTTAGACAGACTTACAAATTATTGCTGATTATTGCTTTTGATCAGCCCCGGGTTGCAGAACGACATTTCCTGGATTTGAGAAAAAAATATGGAAGCGTGTTAGCTGTAGATCTTGTCAACACGGTGTGTATTCTCTTTTCAATGAGGGGATTTTGGATTTTTGTTGAGAACTTTTCTGAGCCCTTGAACTTCTGTAATCAGCATGGAGGTGAGGGACGCCTGAGTGAAAAATTTTCGACGGCAGTTCAGCCTGTTATCTGTGACGATGTTAGGTAGAATTTCCTTTCACAAAACCTTGTCTTTATGTTTCACATGCTCATGTCACTGATAATCTCTCTAACATGATTGAATTTCTGTACTGTAGATATGTGCACTTCGATTTCCACCAAATCTGTGGGCATGTTCACTTTGAGCGCCTTTCTATCCTCTATGAACAAATTGTGGATTTCCTGGAGAAGAGCGGGTATGATAGTTCATTCACAGATCACAAGTCTGTAGATTGCCTCTGATCCTGTTGAGGCCTTGGTTGCCATATGAAACCTGGAATTCATGTTGTGTTTAACCTCGTCCTGTGGTTGACAGGTACCTACTGGTGAATGAGAAGGGTGACAAACTGAAGGAGCAAACTGGGATTGTGAGGACGAACTGTATTGATTGCTTAGACCGTACCAATGTTACACAGGTGGGTTAGTTATCCTACTTGTTTAGACTGGAATCAGAATAAGACCATAAATCTATCAGATGCTCCTATTTTTTCACCATTGCATTGAACCCATAGTCTATGACTCTATGTTCTTCTGGTGTTGGCTCCAGTTCATATGCTTATTGAATATTACTAGCAAAGATGAATGGCAAGACTACAAGAATCATGTTTCTTCTGATTGAACTACTAGATCTTGTCACCTGTATTGGCTTTTCGTTGTCTTTGGATTATTAATGGTTTTAGGATAATCTTTGTAGAGCATGATAGGGCGAAAAATGTTAGAACTGCAACTTCGAAGAATTGGTGTTTTTGCTGCTGAAGAAACCATAAGCTCACATGCAAATTTTGATGACAGCTTCAAAATAAGTAAGTCCTTACGCTTTCTTTACTCCTTAAAGTAAGTATGTCTGTCACATTCCTTATTGGTTTGTTTGTTTCAGTGTGGGCTAATCATGGAGATGATATAAGCATCCAATACTCAGGCACTCCTGCCTTGAAAGGAGACTTCGTAAGGTATTATGTTTTGTTCCCCTGGAAGTTTCTTGGCTCGGGCTTGCAAGCAATTTTAATCAAATCAATTGGACTCCATACTGGATGTTTACTCAAATGGTATAGATGTATGCTATGGTTCTGTATTTTCCGAAAGTGAGTGATGCTGATTGTTAGTATATTCCGCCAAATATTTAAAGTCCCAGAAGACAAATCTGGAACTCTATGCTTCTGGTGGAGTCGTTTCAAAATCACGGATCTTTTAGTTTTGAGAGTCCATTGGGCATTTATCGTTTCCATTTCCCTTTTAAGTTCCTTCTTTGGCCTTTTTCTACTGCATAATCCAAACATATGTCATATTGTCCTAACGGGAGGTTGTATTTATTGAAACCTAACCCTGTCACTTTCAATGATTTGCAGGCTTGGGCAGCGTACAACTCAAGGGATCATTAAAGATGGTATCAATGCTCTTGTTCGCTACTATTTGAATAACTTTGCTGATGGCACGAAGCAGGTCGGTGTTCTTCAGTCTTCATTTAATCTAGAATATAAACAGTGACACAAAGATTGTACTGCGTCTCTAAGAAATTGGGTTATCCACTAAGATCTTCTTGGTGTTAATCCCTTGGATAATTTTGGCTGGATGGTATCCAACTAATATTTTCTTGTATGCACAAACACGAAGGACGCAATTGATCTCCTACAAGGACATTACATCGTTTCCGTAAGCCGGGATATGAAAGCTCCGTCTCAAGCCGGAGGACTCGAGAGTGTAGCTGTAAGTCTGTTTTTGTATTTTCATTTGTCTTAATGATATGAGCATTTTTTTTAAGTAACGGCTAGAATGAATGCTAATACGTAAACTGGGGGATTGCTTATCACATCTAACCTTACAATTTTCGGAAGCAGTCGTTCCCACTGGCGTTTGCATTGATCATGTTCGGGTTCTTGTTTGCATTGTTATCACTTAGGCAAGGTGTGTTCCATTTTCTTCTCCTAAACCTCCCATTTCCCCTGGGTGAAAATGTTATAGGGGTCAACTGTGCTGCTAAGCTGAATATATATTTGTTGTTGTTGCTGCAGTTCCATACGATATGAAGCACTTGTTCTTCTCATTGTTGTGGGCAAGCTTTACAGTGGGTATTGCAGCTTTTGTTAGGGCAAATGGGCGGATTTTCTGCAATCGGCCTCGTCTGCACAAGCCTAGACAATGAACCCTTTTAACCCGAGACTCCTAACGCATACAAATTTTATTGTTCAAAGTCAGCAGAGTCCAGCTTTCGATTTCTTGCACTTTCATTAAACACAGTTTTGGATGGGGTTGTTCTGGGTTATAGTTCCGGAGGACTTGGAATTATGAGATTTTTATGGGTTAAAAGTTAAAACTCACCTACCTACTTGTTTTTCTCCTTTCATCTCTTTGGACTTTCCTCCTTTCTTCCAGCCCTCTTTGGGTACGTTAGATTATCTTTTGTTAAAAAAAGAGAAAAATGCTGAGAGTAATTTGTTTTTCTAGTTCCTTAGAAAGAAAAAATAAAAATAAAACAATATCTATACACCCTAGTATGGACAGATAATAATTTTACCAAAATATCTTGGCAAAATACACTTGTATAGGCATAACTTTCACGTTTGTGACAAATATAGCCATAACTATCCGAAAACACAAAATAGCCAATTCAGTCCATCTCTTTGACAGTGTTACTTAACACTCTGACTAGACTGACGGAAATGTTGTCATGGCGATACTTCGTCGAACACGTGGATTATAAAAAAAAACATAAACACAATTTTTCGAGTTCATAAAATGGAAAATAAAAATATTTTTTTTAATACAAAAAACTTAATCTTCCTCCCTATACCCCCACAATTGTTCGCCCCCTGCTCCTTCCCAAACTCTCAAATCTCAATCATTTGGGCCTTGTCTCTTACTTTTTCTCATCAATTACCAGCAACACACAATTACTAATCAATTGGCCCCTACTCCCATCAATTACCCAGCAGGCAGCAGCCTAGTTATTATGCTAACTTGAAAATTCGTTAGTATATACTAACTAATATCCAAGTCTGTTGAGTATCTAGATAGCACAGACTAGTATTCTAAACATCACAAAGTAGTGTCCAGATAGCAGATACCAACTAATATATACAATTAACCAACTAGTATTCAATATGGATACTTTTATGTGTTATCTGGATACTATTATGTGTTATATGGATACTATTCTGTGTTGTCTAGATATTAGTCTGTGAATTTGGGATAATAGTTGATTCATGGTGGATATCAGTTAGCAAACTTTGAATAATAGTCTGTGCTCTCTAAATACTTTAGTACTTGGATACTAGTTCATGTATTTTGGATATCAATTAGTATCTGCTAACGAATCTTCAAGTTAGCAGATTAACTTTTCCCGCAGGCAGCAACACACAACCCAAAATCGAAGAAGAAGAAGAAGAAGAAGAAAGCCCTATGATTCTTTTGGGTCTTTTGCAGCCGCCATCAACATCATCTTCATCCCTCCTTTCCCCTACGATTCCCACCAGCGACGCCATGAAACCACCGCCCGCCCGTCGCCGTGAACAACCGCTCTCCACAATGGATCCTGCCATCTATGGTTTCCAGATCTGCAGGTGGGGGAATACATCGATCTAGTTTCCAGATCTGGGTTTTGAGCAGCTTCAGGAGTCCAAATCCCTCCACGCGTAGTCCCAACTGACCAACAAGGAAAATCTCCAGATTCCCAAATCAAGCCCGCGCTCCAGCTTCTTGGCGATCTGCTGGGCATGGTTCGGATTGGAGACGTCGTCGCGGGGAGATGGCGGATTGAAATTTCAGATTGGTTGCCGTTGCATTGGCTGAGGAGAGGAGGAGGAGGAGGAGAAAAAAGAAGGTTGTCGTTGCGTTGGTCGGGGAGAGGAGGAGGAGAAGTAAGAAGGTCGTCGTTGCATTGGTCGGGGAGAGGAGGAGGAGAAGAAAGAGCAGGAGGACGATGGGAGATGGCGGTGTGGGTTTCTGCTAGAGTTAGAATGGGTCGGGGAGCATTTTGAAAAAAAGTTAATTATATTTTTTTATATTAAATTATGACTTGTAGCTTATGCTTATGTGTCGCTAACGTGCATGATGATTTGGGTCCTAGTCAGCTTAACGTGAATGTAATTGACGGAGTTGCTAACACCGTTAAAGTTTCTAACGGAAATGGATAGATTTGTCACACTACCATCCAATTTTTGGGCTATTTTATGTTTTCCGATAGTTATTGCTATTTTTGTCATAAACGTGAAAATTATGGCTATTGAAGTGTATTTTGCCAAATATCTTTGATAAGCCATTACCATTTAATAATTTGAATAATAGCGGAAATGTCGTATTAAATAAAATCAAAGGCATAAAAGTCAACATAATTTGAAATATCTTGGCATAATAAATACTTATCATAAATCATTTCAAGATTCGTGTTTACAAAAGTATTGCATTATCGGTAGTTCTCTAGAGTTGGAAGTCATTGTGTTGGCATGTTTGATCGCAATTAAGTTCTTGATCGTGAATCTGGTCTCCCAAAAACTTCTGAGTGCGAGCGTGAGGTTAGTTTTATTCTTACTTTCATTTTAATAGTGAACAACTCATAATAAAATGCTTTAATAAATGAATATGCTAATGCAATGCTAGACACATTATATTAACTTTTTATTAAAGGGGATCCCAAACTCAACTTGACTAGCACACCGATCTACACCAATCATAAAATAACATGAAACTGAACTTTCATCTTGATAGAAAGACATAACAAGAGTATGGCTTCCACTTGACAGAAATCATGGTAGCATAAATTGATTGTTAACTTCCACATGAGGGGAAGTTAGTTTTCCACCTACGCGAAGCAAGATAGTCGTATATCCTGTTAGAAACATGGATTTTGGGTGGTTTTGCAATTTGGATTGGTTTGTTGATTTATTTATGTTTTGTGACTTAGGATGTTATTTGGTGGGGGGGGGGGGGGGGTAATTAGGTTATTTCTCTGAGGACGTATGGTTTTAGTTAGTTATAGGGCATTTATAAATCTTTATATTCTGTAGTTTGGAGAATTATTCAACAAGCAATTTCAGAACAATTAAGCCTAAACCTAATCTCACTCCTCTTTCTATTTCGGTCGACCCTTTGACAACACTTAAAATTGGTGTTACTTAGCCCTCATTCCATAGGTGTTTCCATGCAATAAAAATCATCTTTGGCCAGATAAGATCGATTTCGTCCCGAAATTGCTTCCTATTGTCAAAATTCTAAGATTTAACACGTTTCTATCTTTACTTGGCCATTTGGCAGGAATCTTGTTCATTCTCATCCTTTTCTAGGCTAGGTTGTGTTTTCTTGCTTAATTTCACGCCCTAATATGATAAGGAAGAGGCACACCAAGTTTCGCGCCAATCGAAGGTCGTTTGAGGGGGTGAAAAGAAGGTGGAAAACAAGACTTGCCAAAGTTCACTGCCGCGAATTTCTACCCATACTCGTGAGCAAGAGGATGTCCACCATTAAGGGTGGCCAACGAGAAATGGGTATTTGGGTATACCCATACCCGTCCCTTTTTGTAGGGTTATGGGTACCCAAATACCTGTAATATTTATTATGAGATGTGACTTGAGATTAAGAATTTCAACCTTGGATACCCGCAGGTTACCCGCTAATACCCTTGATTCGGGCCCAAATGTACACATTTTACCCCTCATTTCTTATTCGTTTAGCTTAGTATTTCGTCGTTCCTCGACATATTTCACGCTAGGTTGTGCTTGTTTTGATACATTCCAGGTCCTAGCATGTGTGGAAGGGCCGAGGACGAGTTTTGGGATAATTGGAGGTCAAAAAGTGCAAAAAAGCGAAGAAAAGTCTGAAACCGTAATAGTGAAGTGAAGGCGTCTAGGAAACAACCACAGTTCACGGTCGGACAAGGCAGTTCACAGTCTCCTAAGACCGTGAACATGGACCACAAACCGTGAACACCGAGGCGTTCAGTGAGGTTCCAGAAGTTACTGACGACAAGGCAGTTCACGGTCTACACTCTTGTGCTTGAATTGCAATCAATAAAAGGGCAAAGGAGAAAAGAGAGTGGCCACCAAAAATATAATAAATGTTGGACATGCTCTTAGAAGTGGTTCTTGGCATGCAAGCTATAGAAACACTTACATGTTGTTGACCTCTACACTCTTGTGCTTGAATTGACTAGCAAATGTAGAAAGGAAGTATGTGTGACATGGTTTGGTGATTGGTTGTGTTTTGGAAGTGTGGGAAGTGCGGTTTTTGGCCAATGCTAGTGGCCATTGAGTATAGAAGAGGGTTCTAATTGAAACCTTAGAACCTTTTGTGGTTTTAGGATAGAGATGTGGAACCTAATGTTATGTTTGCCACCACCCGAAAAGTCTTTTCCCCATGTCCGAGACCCTAGCCAATCATTTGAACCCATGTCTAAGACCTCCGAACAAACTAGCAACGACTCATCTTGTGAACTCTAACATTTAGAGGTTAGCATCATGGTAAAGGGATGTTAGGATTGAGTGTGAATATGCACTTCTTTTGCATCAAATGGTCCTGACCCCACTGGTCGAGAGTGAGTGATTCATTCATCATGTTTTGTTCATTTCTTTTACCTGATGAGGATCAGGGTTGCTCGATCGTTCGTTCCTATGATGTGATCTTCATGCATGAGTAACGGTGATTGGTGAGTCGTCGAGGCATGTTGTGTGTGGGTTCGTGAATAATGTGAGAACTCTTCATTTGCACAATCTTAATACAGTTGAATGTCGTTTGTGATGGTTCCCAAGATTACTTTGTTTTTGTCCTTAGGTCAGTGTCAAATAACCATTGTGATTCATTTGTTTTGTGCCCTATGACATGCCTCAAAAATTTTGTTTTAAAAAAAAAGAAGTTGCAACGTTTTGTACTTGGTTTGCTTGGGGAAAAGCAAACGTCTAAGTGTGGTGGAGTGATTCGGGCCCAAATGTACACATTTTACCCCTCATTTCTTAATCATTTAGCTTAGTATTTCATCGTTCATTGACAAATTTCACGCTAGGTTGTGCTTGTTTTGATACATTTCAGATCCTAGGATGTGTGGAAGGGTCGAGGACGAGTTTTGGGATAATTGGAGGTCAAAAAGCGCAAAAAACCAAAGAAAATTCCGAACCCGTAACAATGAAGTGAAGGCGTCCAGGAAACAGCTGCAGT